GGAGTTTATCTTTAAACAAGGAAGTCGCCTCCTTGGATGTGAATGTATGATTGAAAGTTTTCATGAGTTTTTTTGGTACAGCGGAAAAGGTAGGGGAGATCGCAAGATACGTCACAGAGTTGCCTATTTCTTCTTCCTTATTATAATCGTGATTTTTGCTCAAATTTGCACTGACATGTATCCATCATTTTTGCTTGAATTAAAGCCAGCTTGATATCGAGGTGGCCTTTTTGTTTTAAAGGACAAAAAGCCGACTTGCGTTATCCGATTTTCAGGTGATTGAGTTTAGTTTAATTTAGTTTTTAGTTTATTGTTTATTTACCTGACTGCTAAAAAACATAAATGCTTGTTAGTAAGCAACCAGAGGACCGACGGCTTTAGGTCCACTCCGGGGGACCTGGTAATGAGGATTTAAATGACCTAAAACATAAAGAATAAATAAGGTTGCTGCTAATAACTGTCATATTTCTAAAAAATATCAAATAAACCTACCTAGAAAAAGTCATTTCCAATAAGCTTGGTAAAAGTATCGCGATGTTGGTAAAGTTCTTCTGCAACTTCTCTATCTTTAGTTAAACCGTTTGGATGGTAATTTACGTGTTTCTGGCTGGTTTTCAAACGTTTATGATAGTGTTCATGGTTATTTGATGAATCAATCTTATACGCCAGGTTATAACCAAAATAACTTGGCCTTAGCAAGAATCTTCAACATAACTGCCTCCTTCGTCTTATCATACCCAGGTAAGCCACACGAGTAGGCATATAGTGCTCTACCTGCCTTCTCTGAAATTATTATTACATCTGGGAGGTGTTTCACAAAGATCTTAAGTTGAACTTATCTCTAAGTTGGACTTAACAGTTATGGAAAGCCATTAGCATCTATGAAAATATTTTGTAAAAGGCATAATATGTTGATTCAAATCTTTCATAATTTCTAATATCAAAGAGATTTCGTGTTCTTGATGTGGAATTTATAAAAAGTCTAAAATACTTGATTTTTCGCTTTTGAATAATATTCATTTCATTTTATTTTAAGACTACAAATGGTACTCCATAATATTTAAGTCCAACTTAGAGTTAAGTTCGACTTAGGATCTTTGTGAAACACCCCCAGTACTACGAGGTACCTGTGCTATTCATTTTTATTTACAGCTCCAAGGGAAAATTGAGTAAGGAAATAATTGAAAATTCATTATATCTTAGCCTACAATAAATGGGAATCGTCCAAAATTACGTAGGAGGCGATTGATCACAATTTTCGAACTTCTTCTTATTTGTCTAATTAATTTCACACCTTTCACACTTTGACCATCAAGCAATTTCTTTGATTGTATCTGTTTTCACACAATGTCTTACAAAATCTGTATTGTTTGAAACCCATATCAGTCAGCAGTGCCATGTTTTGTCCCCTTTTTTCTCGTGTTTTTAAAATCCAGAATTTTTGTAATTACACGTTGTACAGAAGCAGAAAGATCTCGAGTCTTTTCTTAATGCTGTACATTGTGCTATTCATGAATACAATTATTATTGTACATAATCATTTCAGGTTCTAAATTGGCAACACAGTGTGAATTTCATAATCACTAGTGGCAATGATTTTGGTTGAATTCAGTTGTTTTCATTTACATTGATTCATTTTTATTCATATATACATGTACATTCTAAGCTTTTTTTTAAACCACGAAGGAGTTAAAAATAAGGACAATAGGAGCAAATTGTGAGCAACATGTGAGGGCTCACATGCCTCCGGGTAATAGTGTTGAATTTCACTTTTGTGAGCCCTGGTCCACACGTTGCTCCCTCCCTTTTCCTCTTGTATTGTTTATGTATTACATGCTCTGTCAAAATGTATTTGTATTGTGCTTTTATGATTGGCCTAATAAATAATAATAATAATTATAATTTGAGGAGGGAATAAATGAATTATTCAGAAATTTAAAATACTGCGACCTTTTTTGGGTTCAGCTGGATAGAGCATGTGCGAAAGTGCAGGGGTTTGATGTTGAAACAGGAGCCTGGTTGAAACATGCCAAATTTCACGTTTGCATTATTTTGCATACACTGCTTTTTAACCAACAATATATTGTTGGAACCTATTACAATAACATTGATAATAAAAATGATAATAACGAAAATAAAAATATTTATACTAATATTAATAACAATAATAATAAATTGCACACGCTCCACTCCCTGGGGAGTATTTCGGAATAAGATCAAAGACACACTTATAATCAAGAGAATAAGAGAAAGAACTTTATTCAGCTTTGTTTATACTTACAACACAGATACATACAAGTCCACATTATCTTCTTGTCAGCTGCAACACTTGTAAATAATTAACTTTCGAACCTTCATTCGAAATTGTATTGCAAGTCAATGCTAAATCTAAATAGATATAAATCATACAAAAAGGTCATCAATATCGTTATAAAATCACGTAAAATTTATATTAAAATTTTGTTTAGTGCAGCTAAAAGTAGTGAACAAAGAAACAATAACACGGCCCGTAGGTCTTTTACAGCGACAAAAATCGTCATTAACAAAAGTTCTATTTAAAATAATTGTACTCGTTTCTGCCCATAGAATCGTAATGCAACACGATCTCAAATATTTTCGAAATATCAAGTAAAGAGTAATTTAATTTCCCTATACTACATCATTGTCATGTTCGAACACTTCAATTGGTGACGTATAAGGCTATTGAAATTGCCTTGTGTCGATTTCTCGAAACTAGTTGCTATCGTGTTATGTTAACAATTAGTATTTAATTTTCATTGAAATTTCTGAAGTCCGAATTCCAGATATTAATATTTTATTACATTTTTTAATGTATTTTAATTTGTAACATTTTGCACGATTCATTTCTGAATTCAATTATTATTATTATCAATATTTTTACAAAATTGACTGGATAACTGACCACATGTCGTCAAACATTTACTTCATAATTCTTTGAATTTACATTCCAATTTAAAAAAAAAAGTTATGAAAAAATATAGGAAAATTGACAATTTGATACACAACTGTTTTCATGCATTGTTTAATGCTTGGTTTCATGCATGGTTTTAAAAAATCTGAAAATTCATCAATGCATGAATGAGGATTTTTCGGTGACATTCTTTCACCTCCAAATACATAAGCATTTTAAACAAAAGTATCTATTGTGGACAATAATGTAAAATGTCAAGCACTGAATAACCTTAAGAAAGACCTTTGTTATGATAATAATTGAAAGAAACATAAATTTGCATAATAATTACAAATCTTGTAAGATTTTTTCCACACACAAACCTTCCAAGTACTTATATATAAACACCCAAAATGCAGCCAGTATGTTTTTAGCTATGTGAGGTATATGTATTAATTATCTTCTACGACGATCTACTTGTGACATGCAATAGAATAAGTTTTTACAAAGAAAAGGGCCTTAAAACCATTAGTATGTACAGCTGCAAGATATAAAGCTGCTTATAGTTCAAAGGAACCATCAGTTACGAAAGAAACATGATAGAAATACAAGGAATAAACGAGAAACATTCTACGACGTCTTTTAACGATTTGGACAAGTTGTTTAAAGCGCTTTTCAGTAAAGTAGGCATATAATCACCCCAATCAATGGATTCTGTTACGATCCAGCACTTTACAGTACACACTCTCAATTCCCTTGGGACCCAACATCTGAGACTATACACTCGGATTCTTGAGATTTATTTTCTCGAATTGAAGAAAAACATACTTAAACTTTACAAAAATACGTGAATAAATCACAGTCGCGTCATAATTATACTTTCAAGAATATTTTCCCCTGAAAAACCATCATATACCTGCAAAAATTCAATCGGAGGTCTGCAATATGTTTTTTGTTAAAGCAAAACTATGCCTTACTGAATCATAATCGGGTACATCAAAAGATGATTTCAAAGAGAAGGAACAAAATCTGAAATATTCTTGATCAAGACGTGGTTTAGTAAACTTGAATTGATTATCTATTTTCTGACTTCCAGAATCAATATTTGTTCCCAAATGTATAATAAAGAGAGAAAATAATTACTAAATCAATGAACACGCAGCAAATACTCAGATAAAAAATGATCTTGCTAGGTACCCGTGTGAAATGTATTATGCAGACAGTGGCATTTACAAACCTGATATCTGTTGTAATATAAGCGCGATTAATTTCATAATCATGGTGATCGCGAAAGACAAATAAAAAGTGAATTTTTTTTTTTTTGCAGCAGCAAGTAAATAGTAATGATGATAATAATAATAAAATTAATAATAATAATCATGATAATAATAATAATAATGATAATACAATTGTTATAACAATACTAATAATGTTAATAACAATAATACAAATAATAATGCTAATAATGCTAATAATAAAGTAATATTGGATTTTTTTAAAGCGCACATATGCACCATGTAGATTCTCGATTTTGTGTAGACGTTTGAGTTAAATCTATACACACATAAAGTAGAGAAGGTTGAAAAAAAGAAAGATTTTGAAAAAAAAAGTTATAGATAAGAATAAAATACAAAATAACACAACATATAATAATGCAGCTTCCATGTTTGTTATAAAAGCACACGTTAAAATAGAAAGACATCTATACATCTTCTAAAAAAATCAATCACCCGTCATCCACTGACATAAGATATATATGATCATAATAACTACATTAAATATGTTTCGAAAACATAAAAACCCACAATATTTCATACTCAGCTTAGCAGAGTACGTTTCCTGATTTTCTTTTCAGTAATACTTTGATAAAATGTCCACAGTTGTGTGACGAAGTTGTGTCACATCATTAGCACAAATCAAGCGTTTAAAAACAAATAACTATGACTTAAAAATCTTCTCGTAAAAATGAAAAGATAAACGCAGCAATATGATGAACAATGTCAGTCAGAGGGAGATTCTCTTTAGAGAGATCTGAATTCCTCGTAGAATCCAACTAAATTTACAACGTATAATAACCCTTATTGTGCTATTGCTGCAATTTCGCACAGGCAAATCCCATATCACTATGTTTTCTGTAGCATACAAAGAGTTAAAGACTGCACCGATAACTACCAGATGACTATGGGGGAAATATTAAACCGCGCAGTAAAGGTTAGAAAACACGAGGAAATCGACTCAGTTGTCCAGATTTGGGGAGGCTTTAGTCCAACAGATTTGTGTAAATTCGTCTACATTTTGTTAGTTAAAAACAACCCATTTAAAGAATAAGAACATCAGATTATTTTTCAGCTAGTTTCTCTTGAAATATAAACGTAAATCTGTTAGAAAATCCCTAGGCAACCTTAAAGTAAATAAACGCTAGCACTTGTTGTGCGGTGCCTTTTGAGTAAGAGAGGGGTACCCATTTCTTACAAAACTGATTAGCATTCAATTATTATATATATAATACGCACTGCGTCCCTGTATAATGTTTCATTATTCATTATTCTAGTCAATATTACGATATCGCCAGGGTTTTGTGATGAGTAATATTCAGGGAATTATTCGAAGTTCATTAAATTGTTTTGTTGTTCTCTCCTGAACGATTTAGGGTAATCTTTGAAAATCGCAATTAAGTCATGAAAAATAAAAAGAGTTCCACATGAACCCTCTTAATTTCACACACGCCATTTCGACGTTATAGACGTCGTATTTTGTGATTATCATCAACATCATCATCATCATGTACGCAAATAACTATGAACAGTGATAAAACTGATATAATTTCATTAGAATGAAATACTGACACGCACGAATCAATTATTAAGCACAACATACATATTGAATACTTCAACTCTACAAACTTTTAACAATGTACTTATCTATTAACACACACATCCACATAATATTTTAATACGAAGTATAAGCAAAAAACACATAGTCATATCTTGTTTAACTACTTAAAAACCTATTTACATTGGTGGATAAAACGTTAGTGAACGGGTTTCCGCCATTATTTATATCACATATAAGTGTTAGTTTACTTTTTTTACAGTTCCATTTTCAATGGTTGAAATAAGTTACACAAAAAACATGTTTCGGGCATGTTTCATATATATGTGGTGGTCTTTGTAATGGCCTCTTTAGTAATCTGACACCATTATTCTTCTAAAATACATCAACACCATGGACTGCGCTGGGCGCATCCTTTCATACCTCCATGTTAAATACATTTTTAATAGTTGCAGGCTCTATACTTTACTATCAAAATCATACCATTCAGATACGATACTGATTTATGTTCTAAGGCAATTTATAACATGCACTTAAATCTGCAAATAATAATATTATGATAATTTGAACAGATCATTCTGTTCTTATTAAACACTTGTTGGGAAAAAGATTATACTGGGATTCAGCATCGTAAGGGGTCAGAGTGGGAGGAGCATAGCATTTTTTTCTCTTTCACCATTTGTTTGACATTTATATGTCAGGAGGAGTTAACTTCGGTATTCCTAATTCTTAAGCCCTACCACTTTCTACCAAGTTTGCTATTGACTATGATATTTAACTACGATTCGAGTGTCTCCTCCTCGCGATTGGATATATATAGAGTCCAATCAGTTATCATTGTGTCATTAAATTCATTATGTATCAGATTACAATAACTATTTGAAAACATCTGGCAAATCTTGTGGTGATTGCATAATGTTATTGATGTACACATTCTATAATGTGTGTCGCCAAGGAAACCCATGGTTTCAATAACACAATGGATTTCACTAGCACCAGTATGCTTTGAAACATTTTATCTTTAAGCAAAGATTTATCGAAATCTTGAATGAAAATTGCTTCACTAAAGCGCGCCTTATCTTAACGTTTCTGTCTGAATAGAAAAGCTAATAGACTGGGAGTTCTCAACATCATCAAAGTTGGCTTCATGCACAGCTATCAATTCGTTTTAAAAAGAAAAGTAGGCGTGTCCAAGCCCCTGAATGCCCCTTTTACATCGCATTCATACAAATATAACCTAAGTCAATCAAATACTAGCGCTTGGGTGGGGCCACACCCGCGTGCATGATGGCCTTAAACAGAAGGGGTGCATTGTCGAAGGATATGGCGTTGCACTTCAATGCCAGGTGGCGAATCTGCGGAATAAGGATGAGAAGTTCGCGGAAACGCTCGGCCGCGATGTTGTTGTTCAGCTGCACGTGGTCATGTAGTACGTAGTAGTACTGCTTGCTTAGATCCTTGATCACCGGCAGCTTCGTCAGGTTTGGATTCTCTGCAGGGGAAAGAAAAGATAAACAATTTGAATGTATAACTTATAGGATGGGCAGACATGTCTACGTAACTTGTTTTTATACTTTGATTGGAAGAGTTCAAAATGATAACAAATAAGGATTGTGGATTCTTTAAATCATTGTCAAGTTGTCTTTGGTAACGGCATTTTGATATCTTCGGCCAGTGAAGTGAGTAGACGGGGCTGCGCTTCAGTTCGAAAGGGAGGTAGAATTATGATATCAAATCTTAAATGTTGAATTACTGAAGGGCAAATTTTACTTTGTCCTTAATCCCGAGAAGTCTCAGTCATTATAAGTAAAGAAGTTAGATTATAATAAAAATATATATATTGATGGGGTATTGTAAAGTAAAAATATACTTTTCGACTTACCTGGGTTTAAGAAGCAGATGACCTTGAGACAGACGTGTTCCTGGACGCTGACCTTGAGAGCCCGGTATCTCGCCAGAGCGTTGGTAGCCACATCAATAATCTCCAGTCCATTCTGCCCGAACTTCCGCAGCTCATCCTCGCTGGGGATGTAGGTGTCCAGGATTTGGCCAAGCTTGGTGAAGAGTTCCAACGGCTGCGTTCGCATGACTTCAAGCAGGAGGAGCTCGATGAGACAAGTGGTAAGGAGCGATGTTGAATCGGAGATCGGGATCTTGGACTGGAACGGCAACCGTTTGGTCCACTGGATCTGGTGATGAAGCATCCGGTCCATGAGCTTGCAGAGGAGTTCAAAGAGTCCCGCGTAACCGACTTGTTGGTTCGTGGCGACTTCGAAAGGCAGGGTGAGCGGTTCGATCGGTTCGGCCACGATGAGGGCTTCTACTTCGGGTAGGAGGGCCAAATTGCGTGAGGCTTCGCGTTCGGCGCGCTCCATGCGACGCGCGTACTCGGCTGCGCTGATGCCGGCAACACCGGCGACGGCCATGGCGGGGTTTCCGGCGAAGTCGAAGTAGTGATCACTGGAGCTTGACCCTACAGAGGTCGGTGAGAAGGTAGGGGAGACACCGTCACTGCCATCGTTAGGGCTTTTAGTGGTCAGTCCGTTCATCTCTTCGCGAGCATACTCCTCACCAGACATTATCCGTTCAATCTCCTCGGGGCTCAACTAAACAAGGGAGAACATACAAAACAACAGAGAAAAACATGAGTAAAATCAACAAATTTTAATTCTTCGCGACTTAACAATTGGTTTATTAAATCACATCACTTTGTTCATATAATCTTATAAGACATTCTTTTTGCACAAATATATTTGGGAAGGATAGACAATTGTACGCTGTGCCATTTGGGGGAAACCTTGGCAGTAACGAATAAAGAATACGAGTGGCGCTGGGGTGACGCCCCTCCCTTGGTTGGCATGGAAACTATTACAAAATATCACAGTGGTATAACAGCCAATATCATTTAATGTCATATTGCATCGGAAAAAATGGTGTAAGCAATCAAGAATGTAATGCAGAATACTGGATCGCCGATTGGAGCATAGTTAAATAAAGCCACCGCCCTCCTTCTTTCCGTGTGTGGATACGCCTCTAGTGGGCACTTGGTACTTCAATTGTCCATATAGCAAGGCAAAGAATCTGGATACCCGAAGAAGTAAACCAGAGAGAATCACCTGTCCATTCCTTGTATTTACCAGGTTATTAATTCAAAAATATTTCTTTTATTTAAAGACATTACACGTAATAATGATAACATTATTTAAAAGTTTTACTCCCGATTGGTTCCATTTAAGATTTGATTATTGAAAACAAAAAATTATTGTTCACGTTTCTTGTTTTGTCCTATGATTTTGACATTTTGACGTTTTTACGTTGATTTTGATGTTGATTTTGACGTCTAATATGTTCCTCAAGCTTTTCCCACCTATCAAAGTGTGATTTCGATTTCAAATTATTATGTTTGTTTTCCACCTTATTTTGTCTTTTTTTTTGTCCCCCCCCCCAAAAAAAAACACACACAACACCCGAATTGAATTGAAATTCATTGTCACAATGGTGTTAATAAAATCATTACTTTCATTAAGACTTGAATAGTCTATCTATAGTTGCATATCATTGATATCAGCTGTATAACCTTACTTCTCATCATCTTTTGGTCTGATTGTCAAGATTGACATGAACTTTCAAAAGCTGCAAAGCACCTTCAAGCCATCGTGTACATAACAATTAAGTGTACAACGAAATTACAAAAGTGTGTTATGACCTGTAACTCAAACACATCAAAATCTTTTTCTTCTTTTGAATACAGATGATGTGAACTTTGAAGGGCTAACTGCGAACAATGTGTTTAATTTCACGGGATTAGTAAAAACACAAAATGGATGAAAACATTTTGGTAACCTTCGCACTTGTAGTCTTTCCATTAAACATTATCGGAGGTATACGTGTCACAGTCGCCCCTCAAATATGCAGTAGATATTCTACTGCGGCCTAATGGTGCATGTTCAAGAGAAGATTGGGTTCTTCTTTAATAAGGTGGGAAATACTTTGTAAGTTTTCTCATTCTTTTAGTCAGTTTAAAAGAACTTCGTTATGGAAATATCACATGAAGAAGATTGCCCTTCAAGTGATCTCATTTTCAAAAATACGGCAAGATATAGCTGTGTTTGGACCGTCTCATAAAGCCATGTTTGTGTAAACAGTGCATGTGAGTTTCATTATGACTGTGGCAACTTCTCATCCACAATTTGAAGATTCCGAAACCTCACAGCTAACACCAATTCATAAGAAAGAATAAAATAGACCCTTCAAAATTGCTTTCAGTTCCAAACAGTTTCATTCAGAATCGTATTGGCGGACAGAACCCAACTTTATCTTTAACCAATGCAGAGAGGAAGGGTTGACAGCTTTATAGTTTCTAATCGAATCTTCCTTGGGACCATTTCTCTTCTTTTCTTTTAGATTGAAATTAATCTCCGCTGAATGAAATTGTTTTCACCTTGGCAATTCCCATGTTTATGTGTAATATCTGTTTACCTCCCCCATCCTCCCACAGTTTAATGCTCATGTAATTATGCTGCATTATTCATCCCTTTGCAGTCTGTGTTCATCAACATTTAACAAATAAATTCGTGAAACCTGGCTACACGAAGGCTCTTAGTTTGTTAGACAGACCAAAACTATGTATTGGTGATGTCATTAGTATAGTGTGGTTTGTTTTTGTTTTGTTTTTCTCACCTGAGATAAATTTGCAACATTTTAGCGTGTAAGGGGATCAAGCCGGAGGAAAAATGTTACCTGGATATAAAACATAATGTGTCCTATTTTAAATACGACACATTATGTTTTATGATTTTAGATGGAAAGTTTTTCTCTATTTTTCATTGACCGTTGATGTCGGAGAGCACAACATAGTTGGACATCTGCTCTTGTATTGTATATATGGATATTTATCTGTGTATATTATTTGAACACTGAACATGGTAAATTCATGGTCCTCCCAACTCACCATTCATTTTGCTTTTCCTTAAACCTTCCGCCCCGCCCCGTAGCCCCCGTAGCCCCCGTATCCAGTCATCGTTACACGCCCTTCATTTTTATGGTTCTGGCAAATAAAAGCCGATTTTTTTTTTCACTGGACAATGGTGTGCTCCTATCAATTCTCTTCCATGATGTTATAAATCGTATAAATGTCACTGAGGATTAGGGGCTGAAAAAACGAGACGACATTATAAAGATCTACCACAAAATACCATCAGGGTCCCTGTGCATACCGTTCCCATAAAAAAATGGAATAGAATCCCTTATATTCATTGTTAGTTTGAACATTCACAGTGCTATCCCATTAAAAACATTTCAAAGGCACAGCGAGCCCAATCAATTCTATTCCTTTAACCAAACTTCATCATTAGTGACATTAACTCTAGCCTATTTTATCTCTTTGACCTCGCCCGAGTGCGATTGTTGCCAGCAGGGCCATATTCGTTTTCATACATCTAGTGTGCAAGGTAAAATGTCGTGTTCCATAATAGACGTGCAGCTATTGAACCCCCCCCCCCCCCCACCCGACAGGTCATTTTCTCGCACGATTTCATGCTCTGCTGACACAATGGACGCAACAGCCGATGGAGAGAGAAAATCAATTCGTGCAAAAGAAAATGTGCACAATGCGCTTTGCATCGATTGGAAACATACGCGTCCTTGGAGTTACGTCACCGGCATGATAAGATGTCGCATGCGGGCTCGGGAGGGCAGCGTCCCCGGGCAAGCAGCGGGTGGCTTGGCTGGCTGACCGCTAAGGGGTAAGGGGGAAATGAGCTTACGTGATGTATGCGCAAGCACGATAACATTCGCGGCTGTCTCCCTAATCATTAATTTCGACGTGCCCTTGCACATCGTCTCCCGAATTTATCACTCGGCAATTAGAGAGTTACGTAACGGGCCAAGGTTGGACAAAGATTTTAGGCCTAGAGCCAACAATAGAGGGACGTTCGTTAGCAGGAGGCATGACTGAGCTGCTGTACCGCAGATCCTACAAGTCGTTAAAATTACTTATGGACATACGTACAGGATCTCATTATACCACAGTCGATAGTGTATACTTTGAACGAAAGGCAAGACCTTTATCTAAATCATTACCATATCCCCAACAGCTGTATTTATTTATTTATAATATGAAAGAAGTCTTCTAGGTTTATCGCTTTTAAAAGGCATCAAGCTTAAAGTCTTGACTTTTCCGTGTATTAAAACTAAAAGCGCTTCATAACCACTGTTTTTTAGTTCTATTTGACAGTGTATCGATTTATTTTAAGAAGGAAGCATTTTGAAAAAGAAAAAGGCTGAATACAAACATCTGAATACCGTACATCGAACAGACTGAGGCCATACAAATATATGACCGTAACCAACTCACAGACCCCTGTACTTCAAGTAGTAATTGAGTGATGGGTTTCCCAAAATACACATATTGACAGAAACAGACATACAGTGTTTTTCTTATTGTAAAGATCCATGTTCGTTTGCAAATTCAAATTCATTTTTTTCGAATTCCGTATTTAAATATGATTCTACTTAACTCTAGGAGTGAGTAGACTTTGATGCAAATAATACACATTAACATAGTTGTGAGAAGGGGACTAGGGAATTGCAGAAGTTGAATCATGTGGAATATGATGGAAAATTCATGCTTAAATATCTTGACTAACAGATCACAAAGAGAACAAAACCTAACAAGCCAAAATTATCTACATTGTCTACAATTTCTAGATGCTGAACAGGCTTTGACAAGTAGCAGAATAGAAGTAGAAGTAATACGTGAAATGAGATATGAATCCCTTCTAGAAACATGTAGATTCACATGCAACGAAATTTCTTTTAAAAAAAGTTTGGAGGGCCTGTGCCCTGTGTCAACTGTCAGTAGACTTATGGGTTCACCAGAACATCAGAAAATCTGTCTTTTGTGTTATTTTTTTCGGGGCTGATTTAGAGGCGAGGGTGTATATAAAACCATGGTCGTAAAAGAAATCTACCTCATATCACATATGCTCGAAACATTTCATTAATGTCATGTCGTAAATATTTTTTCGCGACGTTTCCCTGGAAACTAATTTTCCTTATAAATGAAACACCTGGCGGAGTGGTAATTCGAATGACGTAAATGGTTCGAACATTTCGTGTCAAACTCTCGAGTTGATCTAGTTGTGACTGGTTGGATTTTCGTTTCGATTTGTTTTTGTGATAGAAAGTAACACCTTCCTCTTCCCGGCCATTCAATGTATAATAAAATAACGTCAAGTACCATGTTATGAGGGAGAAAGAAATAAAGAGTAATAAACGACAAGAGCAAGGGGAAATAAGGGGGAGCCTTTCAACTTGAAACATTTGTTTCGATGATCTGTTTTGAAGATCATTTTATTTTGAATAAAGAACAGTCTGGTGCAGACGAGAAAGATGAGAACCCGTGAAGTGGAAAGACAAATAACTATATTAAAATGAACTGTAGATGGCGCAAATCCATCATCATGGACAATGTCAAACAACGGAGTTTCTTGACTGCAAGTTGCTTTTCACCGACATGGACGAAATTTCAGGAGCAATTCAAACTGAAATTTCTATTGAAACATTGCCAAGTCTTCTTGTTTAACAAATTGACATTTTGAACAAAGCTTCGAAAACATAACCTACTCTCTGCCAATTCGAATTTTTTTCCAGTTGTTGCTTTTGCTCAAAGATTAATTTTGCCAAGATGGTATGCTTTTTATCATGGTGATTTGGCGGTATATCAAATTTATCTTCGAAGTAATCTCCGCAAAATAGTTGATAATCCCAAACTGTAATGAACCTAGAAAAACTAGGCAGATTGTGGGGACATTGCACATTTGGTATTTCAATTTACTGGTAGTTAGATAGTAGTAGCAGGAACCTTTTGGTAAAATTCTTTTCAATGTTCCCTATCATGTTTTAAAGAGGGACAAATAAGCTAAGCTTCCAGTCTCTACACCCAAGTATACCCAAATAAGAAGTATGTCTGAAATCAGACATCATTATAAGAGTAAACCATCAAAATTGATTAGCGCAAATCTGCGAGAAAAATTGAGGACATGTCCCCAAAATGTGTCTCCAACGGCTCAAGAATCCTTCCAAGGTCACGACCTTCATTACATCACATTAACCTCGAGGAAAAGTGACAGAAAAAATAGTATTATTGAATCTGTGCACTAGAGTGATCGAAAAAAAACCAGTGGAGCAGTCGGTCAGCGGAGTCCCGCCCCGAAGCCAGCCCCTCGCTACGACCGATATATCATGTTACGCGAATGGTCAGTCCCCGGGGACCGATGATTAAAATGTATTCTTGAAAAGGAACACAAAACCGGTCTAGACAACCTTGGACATTCCTAGACAGGGTGCTTACAAGAGAAAAGGAGCAAAAGAATCGGGTGGCAACATAAAATTGCAGGTAGCGAGCGAGACAGAATGTTTCTTTCTTTGGGCCAAAAAATCACGATCAAATGGTATGCAAGACAGTGGATACTTGAGATCCGTGCACATAAGAATGAATTGAAAACTACAAGAAAGAGTGAGAGAGAGAGAGAGAGAGAGAGAGAGAAAGAGGGAGAGAGAGAGAGAGAGAAAGAGGGAGAAAGAGAGAGAGAGAGAGAAAGAGAGAGAGAGTAACATGTTGTAAAATAAGCATCATGTTTATCTATAATATACGTCATACAAGAATGTTGTAAAATAAAAAGGGAGATGGGATGCATCTTTTTAGCAAGCATTTCTCTAAATAACAACCACATGACAAAATAAGGACGTTATCGAATTGTATGCATTAAGGGGAATAGTGGATTGAAATGTTATTATAAATTTTATAATAACATTTCAATCCACTATTCCCCTTATTCTATGACTTTCCAATTTGCGCTTTTCCCCCACTCTCTCTATTATCCTGTTTAATTAATGTCTCAAACTTGTACGTTTTCATTTCTTCCGAGTCACGATCCCATTGATTATTTTCAATTCAGAATGTTTTCAATAAACATTACTTGATGGAATTTCTTCTTTTCCTTTCTCTTCTTTGCTTCTTTGTTAACCCTACAAAGTATCCCTTATAAATAGGCCCACATTGTTCTTTCTTCTCCTTTTTCATGGAGGGGGGGGGGGGTGTCTTTGTTTGAATGTTTTCGTGTTATATCAACCATCTGTCTCTCCGACCCCTGTCATAATACACTCTCCGGTTTCGTCTATTGGACAAAATATCCCCCTCTTCCCCCTTCTACCCCTACTTCTCCTCCCTCGTATTTTCTTCGTCCTGTTCTCCTCCTTCTTCTCCTTTTCCTCTCTCTTCCTCTTTCTCATTCGACTCCTTCTCTTTCTTCTTCTTCAAATGGGCTTACTCCCCCCTTCATTTTCATCACCATCATTCTTCTTTCTTGTCTTTTTGGGGGGAGGGGGGGGGGGGGGGGGGGGGGGCTCAGGCAGCTGCCCAACCCTGCACTCTCCCTGCCTGGACAAAACACATTCTATGAAAGCATACCACCCCTCCAAGGCAAGTTTGCAAGCAAGGCCAAATTCTTACATTCTTTTCCAATTGCCCATTATGCTTTATTTACTGTACCCCCGGGCCATTATCCCACAAAGTGAAATGATTGTGTCGATTTTGAAAAGTAAGGATGATTACAACACCTGTTACCAAATTTAAATAATTTAAACATTCTTGATTAGAAATAACATAGTAGGAGTACATGATTGTTGTTGAGATAAATAGATCAATAGATCAACACACGGACCAGGATAGAGGGATATGAAAGTAGACAAAGAAATAAAAGGATATACAGGAGGAATAAGAAAAGGGGCAGAAAACGACCAAGAACAAAATGAAAGGGACATTTAGGAGAAAAATAGAAGGAAAAAAAAAGAAATAGGAGGCTTCAGCAAAATGTATAACTATAAAATCTAAAACGAATTGGCAAAGACAATAAGTCAACATATATACAGACTATTACAGTGGGTGTTTTAGCCATCAAACTGTCCACTTTAGTAGCAAACAGGTTGAAAGAAGAAGAAGAACACAGAAAACCTTTTTATGTGTTTAACTTCGACATATCCAAATTCCATGAGATTGTTGCAGACAATACGAATTTACAGCTGTTGATAGGGGGCGCTAGACCACTAGCTGCTGCTGACACATACGTGCTCCAACCATTTTGCTTCACTGTTTTGAGGAGTCGACAAATAGAAGTACTACTACATGTTCTTCGGTTTCTCGCGAATACTAAAGGACATTATACCGTAGGCCAGATTGATGGTGGTGGCACCCCTTAAATCTTTTTTTTTTTTTGGGGGGGGGGGAGGGGATGGGGGTGGGGGAACACAACTGCAATGCATTACTATGTTCGACAGGTAAGTAGTACTAAAAAGAAGAAGATAAATACAGTCTTGTCAATAATAACTGGTAGCAGAAGTGCTAGCTAATGAATAATGACTTACCGAAACGGGTCCAATGCTTTTATTTCGGCCGCCAGGCATACCATCTTCTCGAATAGCTGGGAGGAGAAAAAAGAAGAAAGAAAGAAAATTAAAAGAGCAATTCGACATTATAAAAAGGCTATGGATCGCTGGTTGGAATGGATTTAATTTTACAGGGAGATTCATAATAAAATATAAACATGTTAGTGTTTAGAATGAACGAAAATTCATAACAACCGTGAACTTTCTCTTTGTTACATTCCTAATTTTGTGAACTACAGAAATGCTTCTGTAACTGTAAGGAAAGAGATATGGAAGGAACGGGAGAAATAAGGATAGGAGAGAGACTGCATGGGAGGTACAGATATATAAGTGAAAGATTGTACATACACTGACTGATAGATGGCGCTATGCCACATAAAATGACGAGCAGACACGTTTCTGCTTTTCGTGAAGCATTATCATCATCAACGATTTATTCAATTAAACACATGAATGTTACATTGCTCAACACATAGTCAAGCATCCTTGTCAAGCTTTGCTTATGATTGCAGTCTCCTGCACTTTTCCAACAGAATAGTTCGGATAATCCTTTAAATTTATGATTATATGTTATGGAAATATTAAGTTTCGTTATTATATGTACACATATTATGTAAAACAACATTTTGACATGAAGAAATTATTGTTGTTTTATGTTGTATCATACCTTACATTTATGTTCTTTGTTATTCAGTTATATTTTATATGAAAAAAAAATGCAGAAATCAAATAAAATCAAATCAAATATTAGCTCATAATACAACATTCAGTAAGATAATAATCATGTCGATGCCTGTATGCAGAGGCGTCTGGGGAAAATTATGAAAGTTTAGATAACCCTCACAGAGGTATCCAAAAATAAAACCCCCGAAACGTCTGCTCGGCAACGCATATATTATTTTTCGAGTAATCACGTAATAAAAGTTCATTTCTATAACTCGCCGATAAATTTGTAGTGCTTATCTTTCAGCTACCTATTAATCAATTATCTGTAGAGGTCACTGTGTTCTTGCAGTGAGTCACGACTTACCTATCATGATCCCAGACTTACCAAGTTATATGAATAAATGAATTCAAAAATATGAATGAATACAAATTAGCGTAACGCAATATTAATGCCAATACTATATACCGCTCAAAAAAGAAAGAAAGCAAAATCGCCAAGAGTTGAAAGTATTTGCGATTGTGTTTCGTGTATACCATTCAAAATGGCCTTACAGACATTTCTGTTTTAGTTTATTTTAATTTTCCTTCTCACTTTCTCCCCCTCCCCTTTCTCTATTAACACATTCTGCCATTATTCGGTTTGGAGGAGGGTTAGTGCCCATCCATTTCCCAAGAGCTACGCCATGCACAGAAATCAGTCACAGGCAAGATGGCGCCGAGCCGAGTCTGATGGACATAATTATGAAAGTCAGACGATTCCAGGGCGACGGAAAGTGTGAATCATTTCCCGCGCGAATGTTTGACCAGGACATGACCATTTAGAATGTTGTGTCATTCGGACAGACCCTGATAATAGGCATCCTTTCAGCTGCTTAATGAATATCTGCATCCAGTCCAGTTTCTCGTTATATCCACCCTTATATTTAAAATGGGAGAGCTCTACCCTAGTTAAATTCTTAGAGGAAAAGTCCAGCTATACCTTAAAACCCAAACGAGTGATTTAACTTAAGTATTGTTTCGTTAATCTTGAACAGAAGTCAGAATCGAGCCAATGGACACCAAAATACATGATTACAATCTAAGGATCTCTCTAGATTACATTAAAGTTTGTTAGGTTTTGTAAGTTTTGATTGATTGTAATATTACACATTAAAAAAAGGCACAAATGTGTCCGAAAAGAGGCTGAACAATTTCAGCGCCCTGCCCTTTCCCGCATCGCCCCCGTTCTAAATCCGCCAATGTATCAAAGACCCCTTTCGTCATGTTCCCTCTCTTTTGTCTCTTTGCTCTCCAAGAATATTTATACGCGAGAGCCGAATAGGTGCACGTCAACATCGTTGACACCTGCTCTATGACAAAGACTAGTAGATCTCCTTAATTTGTTCCCTTTCTCTTTATTTTCCAAGGACACACTTAATTTGTGAAACATTCGTTTGCGCTGCCTGGAAATGAGTAATTCCGCAATGTTCTTCCCCTCCACCCCTACTTCTATTTAATTCTCTTAAAGATAAACTTTAGTACTGGTAATGCGATTGCATTGTGAAAGAAAAGGTGTGGAAAGGATCAGAAACAGTTGATCATGTAGCATGTAAGTATTGGTGTGCACTGCAAGGTTCTGGAGTCATCAAAATCATCATAAATTTGACCGAGCCTTGGTAAAGTAACACGCACTCACATAGAAAGCTATATATGGGACAACACACATGGTGTCGGGGCTAGTACTATCTTGATTTCCTTGTCTTTCTATGCTCATTACTCAGCCAGTATACATTTTCTTCCAAAATTGTTTGGCACATGTCATTTATTTGTAATCTTGAACATTCAGTGTAAGTTTCGTTTGATTCTGTGAGAATTTTTTTTTTTTTACCAGTACTGGAGTTTATCTTTAATATTTGTTGTCTCTCAACTTTATATTTTTGCAGGTCTCATGTAAATGTTCACTTCTTATTACAGATGGTTATGTAATATTCTACATGTCTAATGGTTCTATCACCGCTCATTTCCAAGAAAGATTATATCCTATCTATATCCCGGGTAATGGCACTGGAACGTCAGCCCAGGGTCGTTACGGCCTAATGGACGCTGTAAACTAAATTACTATTCCTATCTAAACTAGTGGTAGTAGTATTAAGTTACAGTCAAAACCAACCTTCGCCGCCTTCTGAATTTGGATTACGAATCGAAGTATCATAATTACTTTCCCATATCTCATTAATATAGTTTGAAACTGTTTATCAAAAAACAACAAAAAACTACGGACCTTGATGATCGTATTTCTAATAGAAGCCTTTAAAAATCTGTTAAATTTGGAAACAGTGTGAACATTGACTGAAAACACACATCTTTCCTTGAAAGCGTCGTTTATTTTGTGACAGTCAAGTACTTAGAATTGTAAATTGGAGGATCCTTTACAAGGCATATTAATTCTCTCTAATCCCGCATTCACATTGTTTATTCACAATTATGTTACAACGCGTGTAATTAAATTATAAATGATACAAGGATCATGATGCTCTTGTAGGCTTCTTCCATAATCAGCATAGATTCAACCAAACTACTTTTGATCATGAGACAAATGATATCAAATGTTAGCTTCGAAACTTTTCCTCCAGTATGGCACACCAGGCAGTGAGGTTAATTATATTTATCGTAAGTGGAGTTTAGACATGTCACTTTTCTTTCATCGTTCATAATGTATTTCAGATATTGTAATTTTTTGGTCAGGGACTGTCCGCCATGCCCATGCCCATGGCATGAGCCTTTACATCTGAACGTAATGAACCTCCACGATATGCCGATGCAGACTACTCTTCGAGAGAGGATGCGAGTCACCGCCGTTACATTTGAAAAGCGCCATCTTTCGGTGATTCAAAGGTACTACTAATCATTATAAACGGGATGCAATGTAGGGAGACGGATCTTCTTGTGGTAACGGATCTGTGACATGACTACATCACGAATTACATGGAAGGAAATAAATCATGCCATTAAGAAGGAACCAATATGTCTAGCTTTAGAAAAACTACACTTGCGCTAAAGACTTGAAGGAATGTCTCTTCTGATGTCTGAAACACATACACCGAACATCAAACAACTGCTTGACGTGGCCTGCCAAAACGCAGCGAGATTCTCATCTTCAACTTCAATGAATGGTTGATGACTAATCGTACTCCTTTTATTTCTGACCTTAATGTTTTTCAATCTGCAATCATTATAATCATAATTGCTAATAATTTTGTTTACGTAGGGAAGCCTCATCAGCACAGTTCTTGAGTGACCTGCATTTATTATCACCCCAACAATTGCCAATCCACATTAAAGGTAAAGACCAGTATTGGAAACGCCCCAATTTCAAAAAATGAAATGGAAGCTCTCATCACCAATCATGTGAAAGAATATGTTTTGACTAATACATGATGATAAAAAATTTGCCGGGAAACCGCCTACTAATTCATATACATCTTTCTGTGTATAGTGCTTGTAACTTTACGAAGAATGGGCCAAATTTCTTATTATTTTGATGATTCCAGAACCTTGCAGATGCTAGATGCTAGATGATCAACCTTTTCTGATCGATTCCACAACGTTTTTTTTTCACAATGCAATCGCATGACCATAACTGGTCTTTACCTTTAACAGCAGGGTGGAGAGTGGCAATTTTTGATTAATTTCTTGACAAAAGACGTTATCATCGGGCTGGAAATCGAACCATCAACCTCTGGATCGAGAGTGAATGAACCACTACACCACGACCACTACATATCGATTATTATGGCATTCTCACAAAATTAATAATGAAGCTCACATTTTAAGCATTTTTCGTTCTCATGGTACCCTCAAGTTGTAGTAGTTACCATACCAAAGGAAACTTCCGCAATCGTTTTGATGACCAGGATGCTATTTTTTCAAACAGTGAAGCTCACTTTATAGTTAAAGTAGGTAGAATGCAGAAAAGAAACCTTAAAGTCCATCTGCACTAGTTTTGCCAGTGGGGATTAGACCTCCCTGCATGGTCACTGACAAGTAGTTATCTCATCAAATCAGCTCTCAGTTAACATAAGAAAAAGGGGACCATGGGGAACCGTTATAGGTAGTGCAGTGGGGCTTTAAGAGTTTCCCTGGCAAATAGTTTGTTATACGACTCAAGAATCTCGCTAAGTCTTCCCATAATTTTGACCAAATGTACGCCATAACTTAGGGAGCCCATTCTATATTTTTTTCTATCTAAGCAAGCAAGTTCAGTTAAAGGTCCTACGATATACATTAAACGGTAATTCATATGAAGACAGTTTTGAAAAGGGTCAGCATAATGACGGCTCCGCGATTTAGTCTTTCATTTCATTGTAAATTAATGAATTAAGTAAAACCTTTTTAGAAAGATACAATAATATCGCAGACGCGACAGATGTAACTATTTTTAAAAGGGCGAAAGCAGGGTCGACTTTGTGGGCTTTGTTCAAGAAAGAAAGGAATTGTTTGTTCTTTTTGTATAGGTAACATTTTAATTTCATCACGGAGATATCTAAACATGTTATGAAATTGTGTGCATGTTGATGTTTTTCTACTGCATACTCGCAAAGTCTTAAGAGAACTGTACCCTAGGGCAATTCCAATGCCCTATTGGACTGACCCTTGGACTAGGTCCATGGACTGACCCAATGCCCTCATTACAACTGACTATATATTTGACAAGTCTGTTGAAACACAAGTTGAGATTTTGAAAGTCTTACCTTTTCTGTTCATGCCGACCTGGAGACACTTGAGGAGCCGACAGTACTGACACCTGTTCCTCTTCTGTCGTGACATCATGCAGTTCTTGTCTCGCATGCAGCGGTAGACTCTCTTGTTGCATATGCTTCTCTTGAAGAACCCTTTGCAGCCTTCACAGGATACGATCCCTGCAGAGGATAAAGGATAGATGATAAGTAAACTTCATTAACTAACATAAAAGGGATTAATCATCAACAATAAAATAAGGTGGTGATAATACCACTACTTCTTCTACTACTTCTACTACCATTCTCCTCCTCCTCCTCCTACTACTACTACTACTACTACTACTACTACTACTACAGTCAAACCTGTCTATAGCGACCACCCAAGGAAAACACAAAAGGTGTCCTTTGTACACAGGTTCCTTTAGTACATGATTCAATGAGAAACCATTTTCAAGGGAAACAACAAATGTGGCCTTTGTAGACAGGTGGTCACTAAAGCAAGTTTGACTGTACTACTACTACTACTACTACTACTACTACTCCTAGTCTCCTACTCCTACTATTATCACTACTACTATCCATAATATTATTGTTTACCCATTGAAGCCTCATGAGCTTCAATGATGTTCTTTCTGCGAGCCCTGTAATTACTAGTATCCCAGCAATTGCCAGGTACCCACTTACACCTGGTGGAGAATGGCAAATGTGGATCAATGAAGATAGTGCCGGGCTGGGTTTCGAATCCTAAACCTTTGGATTGAGAGTCAAGTGAATGAACCACTACACCACGTCTACTATTGTGTTTGCTATATTGATGACCTGTTCATTTTGGTACCATGAACTTCACTTTCCCAGGCTTAGTGTCTAGAGCCTTAATCCCCATTAATCCATGTGTATATAAACACCATCTACATCCAGCTGTGTCTATACCACCAGTGCCACCTGTATTATGATGTTATGTAACCAAGATTGAGATGCTGTATATCATGAGGAGTACAGATGAGAATAAAGCACTCTTGCACTCAGACACCAAGCAATCGAGCCATGCCTGATTTTGTAGTAAAGTTGTTATAGCACAGAGTAGAAGAACACAAAATCTACTCTCTCTCACAGTCCCATTATTTTACACCAACAAAAACTAATTATTAGACAGACGTAAGTTACTCTCTTAAATGTGATTTCAAAAGAAAAACTTTGGCACTATACTTTGATTCAATTTCACGGCATGCCTGTTTACAAATCTCAATGATTACAAAAAATGCAATCTGGGGATGTTTTTTATTTCACATGCTCTCACTCCATTTCGTCTGTTGTTTTTCTTTTATTGATTCATTTACGGCCAAATCTTAACGCTCAGTCTACGACGAATGTGGACTACAGCCAATTACAGGTCTATAACTTCGAGACGGAAGAACGGAAACAATCCATATGTCTAACAGTCCGAAAAGGGTCGAAGTTTTTGAAGGTCGGAGGACCACCAGACCGAAAAATTAAAAAAGAAAAGGGTCTTGTGTTCTCTCGGATTTGATGAACACTTTAAAGCCACTTGTTTAGAAGGTCAACCAGAATTAAAACTGGGAACCTTTGGTCTTGTGAATCTCCAGTCTTGTTAACCAAAGTTTTCTGAAATCTTAGGTCTTGTTTGCCTTAAGACTTCCGACTTTCAGTCTTGAATTTGTGAATTTCAGCCTTGTGTCTTGCAAACCTTGGGTGTTTTCAAAGTCGGACTTGTCGACCGTAGGTCTTGTGAACTTAAGGTTTCGTATCGAACTTCAGTATTGTTCTTGTGAACTGCTGTCTCCTTGACTTCCGTCTTGTGAACCTCAAATCGTGTGGGACTTCCGTCTTGTGAACATTTGTTCTCCTGGACCTTAGGTAGTGATCTAAGGTGGTCTTGTAACACTCCAATCTTGTAAACCTTAGGACTTTTGACATTTCGGTCTCTTGAACCTTCGGTCGCCGTGGATCTTCTGTCTTGCTTATCTTAAAATGGAAGTCCATCCTGATATCAAGTTGATTTAAATAGAAGAAGATAACTGAGAGAAACGGATCGGTGAGAATTCGAGCGAAATCCGATGAAAAATAAAGAAGTTGTGAATTTTTGAAGTTGCGATAAATCAAACATAAATTGGAAACTGTATGACGTATCTTGTGAACTCATCTCCAATTTGCTCTGTACAGAAAATATCATAAACTTTCATTTTCTTAGTTATTAATGATGTAATAGATTTTCTTCTAGCAAGATACGTCACCGATACGTCACCGAGTTGCCAATTTGTTTTTGGTTGTTGCTCAAACTTTCACTGACCCGTTTCTCTCATTTTTCTGCTCCTATTAAAACTAACTTAATATCAGGGTGGATTTCCCCCTTAAATCTTATGATCTTTGGTTTTATGATCTTCGGTTTCGGGACATTTTGTTATGCAAATTTGGTTGTGAGAACCTATTGTTTTGTACAACTTTGGCCTTATGAACTTAGGTCTTTTGAACTTTAGGGCTTTTGAACCTTCAGACCTGTGAACACGTGTCTTGTGAACTCAGTCTTGCAAACCTTTAGTATTGTGGACTTTATAAATACGGTCATGTAAACCTCAGGTCTTCGGAACTTTTCGCTTTGCGAACACTAAGTCCTGTGAACTTTAGTCTACTCTTGATGGCCTAAGGTCTTGTCAATTCTTTGAACCTCAGGTTTTGTGAACGTTGGTCTTGTGTACTTTGGTCCTACGAGCCTTTCGTCTTGTGAACCTTAGGTTTTGTGTGGTCTTGTGAACATTGGTCTAAATGGACAGTACCTTGAAGACGCTTAGACCAAAGAGATTGTAGTATCTCTTTGCTCAGACTTACCATAGTGGAGACCCGTAGCACGATCCCCGCAGATAAGACAGGACTTGCCATCGTCTTGGACGGGAGGAGAACGCAGGTCAGTGGCGCCAGGACTTATACTTGTAGGGGTGTATGTGGCACCGGGCACGAACGACTGCCCTCGGATTGAAAAGTCAAAGGCTGCAATAAGACAATAAAAACAAAGAGCGAATTATTTAAACAAGATTCATAATCAAATTGGTGTTATAACTAAGACAAAAATATTGCAATTCAATTATTTATGAATCACGTCACATAAACAGTCTGAATGCACACATTAGTTGTTGCTTTGTCGGTTACAGGCCTATACGAAAAGAAAATTATAGGGGAAAAGGCAAGGACAGGCAGAGTGATTAACAACAAATGAAAGAGTGAGAGGAAGAGTGAGAGGAAGAGAGAGAGAGAGAGAGAGAGAGAAAGAGAGAGAGAGAGAGAGAGAGGGGAAGGGAGGAGGGGAAGGGAGGTATATGAGTATCGAGAGATCAAAAAATAATTAAAAGAAACATGACGGAACATTTACAAAATAAAAGAAATTAAGGAATTGATAATGCAAGGACAAGGGGAAGGGGTGAGAGGGGGAAAAAGGGGGAAAAGGGGGGAAATGAGGGGAAAAAGACAAAGAGAGAAAGAAAGAGAGCATCAGTGCAAGAACTGATGTGGGAGATCAGTGCATGGTAGATCAGTGGTCTTGTAACCGTGAGGTCCCAGGTTCGAAACAAAGTCGATGCGCTATAGTGCCCTTTTAGTAAGGCATCTTGAGTCCCTCGGAGAGAACTTAAAGCCGTCGATTCCCTGGTTGCTTACTTACAAGCTTACACATGCTTTCTTAGCAGTCGGGTCAAACAAACAAACCATCTTACCTAAAGAAAATCATAAGAAACATGACGGAAATTTTACACAATAATGATGATTAAGGAATGGGTAATGAGCAATTGAGCATCATTTCAGTTTTAAACAAGAGTGGTTGAGAGATAAAGCGAAAAGAAACGAATGAAACCTGACCACGGAAATTATAACTGTTGAACATGGAAACATGAAAATGTAATTGATCTAAGAAGATTATGGAGTCCGTGAAGAATCAACTCGATTTATTCGCCATTAAACCTCTGATATTTGCTCAACTCTACATGCCATTAAACTCGTCAACCTTTTAGTGTAATTAATTTTCCAGACGACGAGAATAAACCATTATCCCCATCATTGTTTATCTCTAGTATTAATGACGCGAATTCTATTATCACAAGTACATTACCCATGGATAGATGTTACACCTTGTCTGGTGGTGGCGTAGCTACGGGGGGGGGGGGGGGCACAAAGGGTCATTATCAAATCGTGAAAAATTATAAAGAAAAGAAAGATAAGGGGAAATGGACGAGAAAAAGATGATGAGACTCCCTCGCATATCCTTCCCAAATCAGTAGCTCTATAGTCCTCTAAAGTCCCATTTCATTTTTCGAGTATGACCGGTACCCCCCCTCTCAATGGTTGGAAACCTGATATTCCACGTTTTCAGGGGGACTCTAATTAATTATTTGTGGATTCTGTTTCTAAATTTAGTCGATATGACGTAATTTGTTTCCTCTCCTTGATCAATTTCCTTCTGAATAGTGATCTAGTTTGGGTTGATAATAATCTAAGGAAGCTTTAAAAATAAAAATATTAGGTCATACAACAGAGTTTGGACTTATCTTAATCTAATTACTTTTCGTTTCCAAATTATTGTGAAGGGGGGGGGGGGAGGGTGCATCTACATGCCTATAATTTCAGTCATTACGACATCGAATACTCGCCTTGTTGATTTTGGTTAAATGGTTAAATGATGAATGTCAAACGTTTGCATCATCAATTCCTCATTTCATTTCGACATCCTCCAAACTTGGTCAACAGCAACTTCATTGTTCTGTGAGTACCTAGGTGCAAATGTTAAGCTCTCCGGGGGTGCCATCTTCCTATTATTCGGGACGAGGATAAAGACTTTTTTCTTTATTTGTCTCTTTGCCAGAAAACAGTGGAATATTTGTGAAGACTTCGTGGTTGTAGGTTGTGGTGTTGGTGGTAGAGGGTGGGGGGGGGGGGGGGGCATCGGTCTTACTCGGTTTGATAGACATGCGCATCAACCGAGACCATTGATGAGGTGATGGCTTAGGAGGGGGTCATACCATATTCTTATTACTTTCACTTTCGCCATCTTCCTTTCTTCTCTCTCTCTCTCTCTCTTTCTCTCTCTTTCTCTCTCTCACACATTTTCTCTTTTAACTTTCGAGAGGTGGGGGGGGGGGGGGGGGGGGTTACGCGTCTGCTGAATATACCCCATTGGGTGGTAATGATAATGTCAACATCATTCCTGCATTACGCTCTTTTATTTTCTTTGTCCTCGCTTCCAGAGCCTTTTGACACCAAGAGTAACGCGGAGCATCAATGTTAAGTTACACTTTAATGCTTCAATTCAAGAAATAGCAATTCGGTCGATATGATCTTCTTTCAGAATTCAAAATAAATTATTGTCTCACTCCTTCTTTTCATCCCAAATTAGCCTGTGATCCTTACGCGGAGTATACATGCTTCATTTTGTGCAATAAATCAATAATTGCTGTTTCGTTATATCTTCTATTTTACTCTATAGAAATTTAATTAGGAAGAAACAAATGAAGTGAAACTCCGCCTTTTAATCGAAATACTCGAAAACATCTGAAGTAAGTTCAGAGAAGGAACATCAAAAGATGCAGACTTAAGAAGTTATGATTTCTGGAAGAGGAATATTTAATAACATAAATATGAAGTGTAGTAATTGGAGGTCACTTGCTACTGTTTTAAATTCATCAATTGTGCAAAACAAATTGGTATGTAGAAAATGACTCTGAAGAAATTAGCGTACGTTACGAATGTGGATATATGCCCTACTATACATTACATTACAATTAAGTCAAGAGGCCAAATTTACTCCTCTGTTTATTTGTCACACTAATGTACATAACAATAATCATTGTCTATAAATTAAAATTTAAAAAAAAAAAAAATCACAAAATGACGCTTCATCACTCAAGACAAGTTTCTGTCATTTGTTAATCAAACTCCCCATCCCTTCTTTGCTCATTAATTATCCTTCCTGTGACCCGGTAAAATTATATGACAGTGTCTGGGATCCACACTAAGTCTGGAATTGAATTGAACCAGACAAATGATACTCCTCGTTTAAAAAGGGGATCATGTTTTTGTCTGTGTTACGTAATCAGCCGTCCCGCATTCGAACGCTTGAATGTCCAGTACATTAGTAACAATGAATTTCATGAGAGAGAGAAAGAGAGAGGGGGAAAAAAGAGGTGGTGAGCGAATAGCCCATTGGGTCTCTCAAGAGCTACCGAAATATGGAATTTGGTTTCGCGTTCCATCCTTTACTAGTGCCCAAGGGTCAAGACATAGTGAAAGTGTTTTGATACCACATTCACGTTTTGCAATGAAGAGTTGAAGACATTTCCAATGTAAACTGCTATGCGTATACAATTAATCTGATCACATCATATGCCTTTTGTAATCTGTTCATCTTGTCCAAATACAGTTATTTGACTTTATTTTTCGTTCCATGTCTTTCAAGAAACTTTGATATGAAGTTCAGCCATAGCACTAAATGAACTTTTCGAACATGCCGTTTATACTTTCAAGAATTTGTTATAAGCTCTAAAACAAAATCGGTGTTTCTGTTTGTATATAAAGATAAAGTCCATGGGTTGAAATATAGAGACGATAACAAAATCTGAAGTTTTTTTAAATACAATTACATAAATTAAACGTTGAAAAGTAAAAACATGTGTTCGCCGGTAAAAATCAGAGATGAGTTACAACGTTCATTTCAAGAAGTATTTCTCATATTAAAAGATCGCAAAAGCAATTTTTTTTTGTACTACAAGTCGTCGAATGTTCATATTTTGATTGGAATATTTTACCATTTATTTTATGATACTGCTAATCCAACCTGAATATTATACCTAGTCATTTTGTGATGGATTCAAATTATTCCGACTTTCAGCAGGTCTTTGCAGGTCAATGGCGGGAGCAAATACATATGTAAACCGCCAATGAAATCATGATCTTTTGGAAAATCATTGTGAGGGCATTCAAGGGGGCTATGTTGTCGGACCTTGTACAGACTAAAGATCAAGTCCAGGCACATTTTCCCTCCTTTTTTTGGGGGGGGGGGGATATTCGGATAATGACATTTCAAAGAATTAGCCGATTTCCCTCTTTAAGATTAGAAATGGTTTCCAATGATGGAAGCAAATTAGGATTTTGGAAATTAACAATATTTGGGTTTCCTACCGACCATTCATCTGGTTTGTTACGTCATGATATAGATATTTTTGGTCATTTCGTAATAAAGCTATTCAAAATCGTTTTTTTCTTAAATTTATAAATTCGATGAATGGTTGATAGTAAACTCAACTGTAGAGAAGGTGCCCAATGAAAGTCATTTAGTTGTAGATTTTATCTAAATGTCTATAATACATGTATATATACATTTTTCAAAATTGATAACATTATCTGGAAATGGGGTTCCATAACGCTTGGAAAAAAGAAAAGGAATGGGCAACAATTTTCGAAATAAATGGATATCAATAATCATGGTTCAAACGCACCACGGGATACACAGTTGATCCTAAACCCAGAATCAACACTTATAGAAAAGAAATAATGCCCCTAGCATACAATGCATAATTAAGCTGACATAGACCTGCGTCATCAGCGACTGACGCAGGCTTCGGTGCGCCATGCGAGAGTGTGAATGCAAGGTGAACATTGTAAACAATACTTGGAAGTACATGGGCAAGTTCCGTCACAAACGTGATTAGCTCAGGTGATATCGCAAGCGAAATACGGCTTCGTGTGAAACTGGCATGGCGTCAAATTCGTCATTGCGTTAGTCACTGCGTCAATCAAGTATGTAATGGCAATAGCACATACGCCAGTAATTAATGCAATATTTAGTTTACTTTCCCTTTGTTGTGACGCGTCAAAGACGCTGACGCAGCATTCCTGCGTCAAAAAATGGCGAAGGAAGATGAATGACTCAAAGAGTAAACAACCAGGACAATGGACGCATCTCACCCCGGTAGTTGTCCGGGGATAGTTGTCCTATAAGGGGTAGT